CACCAGGGGGTAATATTCAACATATTCAGCACCTAAGGCACCAATTGCTACAGTTCGCACAGTACAGGTGGCAAGGCCTCCGACTACGCAGCAAACTGACCAAACTCAACTGCGAGGCCACTATGGATACTTGTTTTTTTAGTACGGCCAAGGCACAAATAGGGCGCTCAGTAATCGAAACCCTATTCGATCCGGATACAGGGGGGGGGACATCTTCGCCACCTCTACGGACCAATGCACCCTTATTACTCTAACCTTATTCAAAAATCTCTATACTTCCTAGATTCCAGATCATGGGGAGGAGTCTAGACTAAGGGACCTGGAAAACTTCCTTAGTCTCATGACGAGAACATTAACTACACAACAAAGAGACCTTTGACTAAGGAGGAAGTTTGGACATCGTTGCTCCAGATGGAGGAGGGGAAGACTCCGGGGATAGACGGCTTCCCCAAAGAATTTTGGGAATCTCTATGGCCCATCCTAAGCACAGAAGGAGACATGGGGGAGGTAGTGGGACAAGGGGTTTTGGCGCTATTGTACAAGAAGTGCTACAAGATGAACATTAGGAACTACAAGCGCATCACCCTCTTGACCGCGGTCTACAAGATGCTAGCGAAGACCCTCGCCAACAGAATGGCCGGTGTGTTGGAAGACGTTATACACCCGGCCCAGACTGATTCCTGCGCAACAAGAGCATCCAAGAAAACATTCTGCTGGTCAATGAAGCAGTTAGCCTGGTCAAGCGGCATAAGCAGAACACAACCATCATCTTCATTTTTTTTGAGAAAGCATATGACCACGTGGATTGACAATTCCTCAACAAGTGCATGAAGAAAATGAAGTTTGGGTCAGTCTTTCGGTGCTAGATCAACATATTTCATAAGAACGCAACCACCCCAGTCCAGGCTAACGGAAGGGGTGCCCCACCTTTCATGCTCCAGCACTCGATCAGGCAAGGTGACCCAATCGGCCCCTACTTCTTTCTCATCATAATGGAAGCTCTATCGGCCAACTTGTGAAGCAACAAGGATATAAAAAGAGTTGGGTTGGTAGGGATCCCCGAAGAGGCGGTTCTAGTTTCCTCTCTCTTTGCAAACGACTTGACAATCATAACGGTGGCATGTGCACATAATTTGGAGGAGATCCGGACTCTGATGGACAAGTTTTGCCGCCTATCTGACATGACGGTTAATTGGGGACAAAAAACGGTGGGTTGGTGGCTCCACCACCAAGGGGGCAGACCACCGAAGGTCCCACAGATCTCATGGTTACTCCCTGAGGCCCGGATGAGGGTACTAGGGGCCTCCTTGACAGCTAGGGGTAAGCCCGTTTCCAACAATGATTGGGTGGCAACACTGGCGCGAGCCAAGCTAACCAACTGGAATAAGAAACACACCTCAATTTTCGGGTGGGCACTAGTAATCAATAATCTGGTGCTGGCCTCTCTTTGGTACATGTCTATTTTATGGCCTTAGAGCCGCACAGGGCTCAGGGATTTGAAGCGGCGTGTAACGGCTTTTCTTTGGAGAGGAGACAGTGAGGTTCCCCACACGATCAGCAGGGTAGCGTGAGAGTCGGTAATTCAGCCCAAAGCCAAGGGGGGGTTGGGTATCATTAATCCCTCCACACAGGTTCAGGCTCTGAGCCTGCGTTGGATCAAGTCTCTGATTTTCAACCCGGCTTCTCCCTGACGCTCTTTGGCTTTGGCACAACTCGCAACTCTTGCCCGGAGGCTCCCCCTGCGATAGACCCCCTTGTTTGGTTAGAGGATAGGTGCTGGAGGATCCCAAGGTGGTACAGGGAAGGAGGGCCGGCCGAGGAGTTTTGGGTACGTAACCTCAAGACATGGAGGAGACTACCAATCCCGGACAGGCCGGCCCCGGATAGACGGGAGGAGGTGTTCAAGCAACCCCTTTTTGGAAACAGGTGGATCACAGACTTCTATGGCCAGGTTAGATGCAGCTTGGACTCACCATGGAGAAGGTGGGTCAGACATGGGGCATTGTGGGTGGGGGACTTATGGGATGAGGAGGCTAAGGATTGGAAGAGTGCGGAGAGGATGAAAAAATGGCTGCGCTATTGCCAGTTTACAGAGGAGGCCCTGGGAGAGTTGATCGAGAATTTCCTTGTGGCAAGGTACTCCATTTTTAGGAAGGGCCCCACTTTGAAGGAAGGGGACTGGGTTGGACAAGCCACCGAGCCGAAGTCGGTCGGGCTGGTGCATATGGTACTGTGATGAGGTCCTCGTTGGAAGATCATACATGCTGGGGAGGGCGAATAACCTGATAGGAAGCAGGCAGCCCTTTGTCTGGAAGCACAAAGTTGCTGTATACCGCATCAGGGTGCTGCAGATCAATAGGGAATTGAGAGCCTTTCGGACGATGTCACCAATTGCGGACCTGCCCATCGACCCGGGGGAGTGGCGATGGAACTGGGGAAGGAGGGGGTTGAGGGCGGCACAACAGTCACTGGCTCTTGCAGACATAAATGCTAAAACAGCATACCGGATGCTGAGGCCGAAAAGGGAGCTGCACGATATAATCTGCAATAGATGGCAGCACCACCTCAACGTGGACCTGCACCTCTTGTAACCCATAAAGTGGTTTCGGGAATCCAAACTACCGGCCAAGATTTCGGGCAGATGGGGGTGTGTTCTGAGGCAGGTTGCGCTGCCTCGTAACCTGAGAGACGGGGGTGTGAGGCCTGGTTAAGGCTTGGTAACAACATAGGATGTTAGGGAGGCTGAGGACTTGGGCCACTGAGTTGCATCCGAGTTAGATTCTGGTGTACAGGCTCCTGTGCGACTTGAGTTGTTCATAGGCTTTGTGGTTCTATTCATTAGGCCCTTTATGTTTGTCTCAAACTTTCACCTATGAAGCTCATAAGGGACGCTGAGCCCGGTTCAGTTTTGACCCTTCGGTCTCATAGTTTTTCAAGCTTTTCAGACTTTTTTCTGAATTTTAGCCTATCTCATGAGGTCCTTGTCTAATAGGTTAGTAATTGCTCATGATCCTATTCTCAGCCGAAGCCGGGTAATGGCCTCGGTATCTCGTTTTTCTCCGTATATGTTCTCCAATATGTTTCCAATGGGACGCTGGGCCCGGTTCCCAGCACGTGCGGCTCCCCATGAATAGATTGGAGCATTGTCCCAACAAAAAAAAATAAAAATAAAAACAAAAATCGGCGTTACAATGGCAGATCGCCCATCGGTGCCTCCCGACCAACAATTGGTTGATTGACCATACCAAGCTGGAACAGCAGGGACGGACATCACGGTGGTGTAAGAAACGTCTGCGAAACTTCCCATCACGTAAGAGAGAGGAGACAATAGAGCACCTCTTCCTACAGTGCCCTTCATCCGTTCTGCTATGGCGATGGTGAGACGAAATATGGAGGCAGACAGTGGATTCCGACTGGCCTTGGGATTGGAGGACGCTGCTGACCAGGCATTGGCCTCAATGCCCCCAAGAACCTTTGACAGAAAACCTGTTCCGATTGGGAAGGCGGGTTATCCTCTGGGGAATATGGTGGCAAAGGTGCACCTTGGAGATGGAGGGGGCCCGAATAGAAGATGGTGAAGCGACAGAGCTGGTTAGGCAGCTGGTGGAGGAGCAGATCACCAATCAGTGAGATCACCAATCAGTGGCAGGCGGCCAGACAAAAAACGAGTTTTGCGCATACCAAACAGGATATCAACAGAATCATTAGCTGATTTTGTGAAGTATGGTTGGGTGGTAGTAGGGGGGGATGGATGGCAGAATTAAACTGGTCGGGGGACAATGGAGGAGAGGAGGGAGGAACAGGGGGGGACGTACCCAGGGGCTATAAGTTGTTATTCCATTAAGGCCTGCAGCGGACTTCCTGGATCCCTTCCGCCCTCACCCGTTTGCCCTTATGGAAGTAGAGCCAGGAACTTTCCCAGCAGAGAATCAGTAGGATTGGTGGCGGGCAGACAGAGGGACGGTCCCACTAGTGCCCCCCAGTGGTTCCACCCTCCATGCCCGGACTTAGGAACAATGGGACGCTGCACCCGGTTTGCAGCCCTTGGACTCTCTTATCTGTAATGTTTGGGATGCTGGACCCGTTTTCCAGCAGGTGTTACTCCTCACCAATAGATTGGAGCACCGCCTGGTCTTCTAGGAGGGGCTGCTCGTATCACCCCCCCTAGTAGGACTGGTGGTTTAAGAAAAATAGTAATGAAAAAAAAAACAATAAAAAAAAAGGAAAGCTGCGAGCATTACACTGGCCCATTGGGGAGACCTATGGACAGAAGCTGGTATATTGTTGGGGACTCTACTTATACCCCTCACCAAACCCAGAGCTGCCTTTCTGTGCAGTGTGTAATCATGGTTGTGTAGTGGGGGACCTGCAGCACCTTCGGGTTACCTGTAAATATGCAAAAGAGGCCTGGACACAATGGAAAGCTGCGAACATTACACTGGCCCATCGGGGAGACCTATGGACGGAAGCTGGTATATTGTTGGGGACTGTAATTATACCCCTCACCAAACCCAGAGCTTACATCTACGAAACTCTCCAAGCGGCAGTACTGTGGACCGTCCGGAGGCAAAGAAATGAGGTAGTCAGAAATGGGAGCGCACAATCCATCCTTCAGGTGTTCTATTGCATTCGCAAGACTCTCAAGCACATCATTCTGCTAGGAAAAAAAAAAAAAAAGACTTCGAACCACAACTGCCCTTGTGTCGGGTGTGCAATGATTTCGATAACAGTGGGCTCCATACCCCAGCTTAGAAAAAGAACAATAAAAAAAAAAAAAAAAAAAGGATTGTTTTTTGTTACTTGATATTACTTGGTAGTAGAACTTAGAATGATGACCGGCGGACCGGCAAGGCCCGGTCCCTCCGGCTAGACTAGTGCCTGAGGAGGGGAGCTCCTCGGCTGCTAGGCCTGTGCACGCGCCCGGCAGACGCGTGTGGCTCCTTGATTGCCACGTGGCAGCTGTTGTGGTGATGTGGTCGTCCGCGATGCGTGGGCAGGGGTAGCGCCAGCTGTGAGATCGACGACGAAACGTAAGAGGGGCAAAACTTTCTGGGAAAGAGATGGAGTGGGTGGGGGAGCTTCAACGTGGAGCATTTCAAGTGGGCGATATTCTTTTCGACAGTGCAGACGATGTCTCGCCTGTAGAGGATGGTGAAGGTGGGCAGGATGAGGAAGACGTGGTCAACTATTATGCAAATATTAGCGCAGTGTGCGATGATTGGGAAATCGAAAGTGAGACGAGCCGTGGGTTGGACATCGTGTGGGAACTGGAGGAGGGGCCGGATCCCCAGCTCGAAGCTAACATCCACTGGACGCGGGTGGAGGACATGATGGGAAAGTGCGATCTACGCGACCTGTTGGAGGAAAGGCAAGGGAGGGGCGAGATGGGTGAGAAGGATGACAGATGGGATGATAGAGTGGAGGACAAGCACGGCGACGGACGGGGAGGGAATGGAAGGGGTGATGGGGCCAAGGAAGGTAACTGCGATAATAACAATAATAACTATAATGACAGCTTCAGCAAAGATGGTCGCATCAACGACAGTTTCATCGACGACAGCAGGGATGGCGTCAGTGGCAAGCTCAGTAGTAATGTTCGTGTATCCGCTTTCATCACCTGTACGGGGGGAGAGGGGCGGGGATCGGCTGACGTACACAGGGATAATTGCAACAAAAACAAGAACAACAATGACTACAACAGCAACAACAACAACAACAACAACAACAACAACAACAACGACGATAACAACAACAACAACAACGATAACTATGATGACAGTTTCATCGACGCCAGCGGGGATCGCGCCAGCGGCAAGCTCAGCAGCAAGGTTCGTGTATCCGCTTTCATTATCTGTACGGGGGGAGAGGGGCGGGGATCCACCAAGGTGGATAGGGAAGGGATTGGGGTTGGAAGAAATGGTTTGCTACTTCCCCGCCCCCCCCAAACCCTATGATCAATTGCTCCTCCTTCGCTGGCATCGGGTGGGGATAGGATAGTTGAGAGCCGCTGCCCGCTTGGTCGATTGGGGTTGCCCGGTCCGCAACCTCAATTAAGGAGGGGGTGGGTCGCCCCTCAGGGGGAGGTGGATAGATCAGGGCTTTGTTTGTCTGATCTGTTTGTGATGTGTTTGATGATTGCTTGCTGGGGAGGAGGATTTTCATAATAGATAGGCAGGAGGTCAATCCTTCCCTATCGCGGGGAGGTAATCAATGCCTCTGCTATCATGCTTTTCGTTAGGAAAATACTACATAGTAGCTCCCCCTCGTTGACTGGGGTTGATCGGCCCTCAACAAAGGGGTGTCGATTGGCCCTCATGAGGAGGTCGGCGGTTTAGGGTATGAGCTCTGATTTGGTTTCTTTGTTGGGGTGATCGGTAAAGATGTCTCTCGTTATCTTTTCGCTGCGATCATACTTCATGGGCAGGAGGTCAATCCTTCCCTAGTGTAGGGAAGTAATCAATGCCTCTGCTCAACGATTACATACAGATTGAATTGTACGTGCACATTGCCGTCTGCACACATCAGTGTATAGGGACGCTGGGCCCGACTTCCAGCTCACACCCATCACACCCTTTTTTTAGGATTATAATAGATAACGAAGGAGGTAGGGTAGGTAGGGTTCTTTCTTCATGCGTCATATAGTGATTTCATTGTAGATAATGGAGGATAAGAGTAGATAGGGCTCTTCCTTCATGGGTCATATATTGATGAACATATACACATACTACTGCATAGGGATGCTGGGCCCGATTCCCAGCCGCTACAGAACACATTGCTTAAAGGCTCTGGACCCGATTGTTCTGATCTCCAGCTCACACACATCACATCAAAGCTAGGGTTTTGTATCCTGGTCTGATAGATAGGATTGGGCTTGATGCCTTAGTTTGTGTTTGAGAAACTGTTGATCAGATGGACAAGGTTTTCCCATCATCTGACATATATTGGTTAATGAACATACATAGGTAGTAGGAGATATCAACACATCTCTGTATACGGACGCCGGACCTGATTTCCAGCTGATACATTCACATCATTGTACAGGGTCGATGGACCCGATTTCCAGCAGGTGCAGCTCCCCACCAATAGATGGAGCCTTTGACGTTGGGGCCTACTTACCGGGGATGCTCTTACCACCTCATTAAGTAGGGATCATGTACCATACCATACACTTGTTTGAGGTGGCAGCAGACATAAGGTAAAGTGGGGAACAAAGACAGAAGGGTGGTGGCTCCACCCGCTAGAGGAAGATCCTCCAACGGAGCTGTAGGTGGCTTGGAGGGAGAAAGCGGTAGCAATCAGAGTACTAGGGGTGAATCTAACAGCCCTGGGCCCTCCCCCGGACCATGGGGACACGATACTGAACTTAGCCATCCAAAGAATGTCGTGTTGGGACGGCAAGGCAACCTCGGTGGTGGGAAGGGCCCTAACACTTAACAATGCAATATTCGCCCTCAATATGGTACAAAGTTGCTTTGGCCGCTCACTCAAAAACAGTTGCAAAGGCTGAAACTTGCTGCAGCGGCCTATTTATGGAAGAACGATCATGAGAATATCTCTTGCATCAAGAGGCTGACTTGGGATATCTTAATCCAGCCTAGATCCAAGGTAGGGTTAGGCATCATAGACCCGGGTCTGCAAATCAAAGCCCTTACCTTCAAAATTATGACTAGGCTACTTTTGGAGAATGACATCCCATGGCCCCCCTACACATACATACAGATAGCATGCCTGCCCCCCCCCCATGCCCGCAACACCCGATGCACCCTCTTAGGTGGGTGACAAACCAGGCATGGACCATTCCAGCTAGCCCCAGGAGAGATACGGTCACTACCCCCGCTGGTAGGGCAAAATGGGACATCCGGACTGACCCCATGTGGCCTGATCTGTTAAAACTTTGGAGGGCATATGGCCCAAGGCAACGGCCAGCTTCCGGCGAAATGGGACATCCGGACTGACCCCATGTGGCCTGATCTGTTAAAACTTTGGAGGGAATATGGCCCAACGCAACGGCCAGCTTCCTTGAGGTGGCAGGAAATCTGGCGCCAACCCCTTTATGGCCACCCGCAAATTCTTGACCCTGGGGGTCACCCCCTCTCCCTCCGCCGCACCTCGAAATGGAGGAAGTGGTTAAAGAGGGGCATTTACACGATGGGAGACATATGGGACGACCTGCAAGGCACATGGCTATTAGAAGAAGCAATGGCTGCCAAACTAGGTCCCATCTCCAATCTACTTCAGGACATGCACGAAATGCAAGAGGCAATCCCGCTAGCCTGGGCCAGAGTCCTAAAGAAGGGTCCATCCTCGCAAAAGGGAGACTGGGTCGTTCATATGGACTCCCTGATCCTCCCTATGACTATTTACAGGATTCACAAGATAACACAGGCCTCGCTGGATCTTGAAGCCTTCTCCCCGGACCTACCAAGGGCGAGGTGGTCTGCTGTGCGTCGACAGCCAGAACTTGACAGACAATCTTTACACATGGCCGCCTTCCTCAGAGTTCGCGTAGTGGAGGACAAATATGAAATCTGCTACGTGTACGAACCTGCCACCCCGCTGTCCCACCTCCCTTTCGACCCGGTGGAGTGGGAATGGACCTTGGGGACGAAGACAACAATCACCCCATGGCAATACTCAGTTAAAAATGGGTATAGAGCGGCACGCACCTCAGCCCCAGTCATGGAGGGCATCCTGCGCAGACGGGAGAGGGACTCCCCGTTTAAAAAAAAGGACTTTCATTTCTTCACATGGACACCCTTCTCCCACCTGAAACCGACTAACCACAGAGCTCTCCAATGGCAGATTATTCATAGATGTCTGCCCACCCCTGATTGGCTGACAGACAGGACAGACCTGGAGCAAAAAGGGCTTTTGTCGCCGCTTTGCTCTTACTGCATTGACACCCCCCCAAGAAAACGAGCCACATTGGAACACTGTCTTCTTGACTGTCCAATGGTGATCCGACTCTGGCGATGGTGGGATGCAGCTTGGCATTATCTTACAGGCCATCACTTACCCTGGAGTCTGCAGGCCCTCCTTTTTGGTGTTACCACAAATGGAGAACACTGATCACCATTTGCACTCAATCTGTTCCAATACACCCGCCTCGCCTTTCTTATGGCGGTCTGGAGGTTGAGGTGTTCGTACGAAAGAGGCCAGCACCTGTTCGAATTTCACCAAGCCAAAGCTGAAATTAGGCATCTTATTACTGTACAAACACACTATGCCTGGAAAGGCCTGCAGACCCGGCTGCATCAAGAGGACGCTGCCAAGCGCTCACGCCTAGTCGACAACTTCTCCATAACATGGCTGGACTCAAATTCGAGGCCGTGTAATCTGGACACGAATCATAACCTACAATGGCAACCATGGCTGGCAACTGAGAGACAATGGGATTTTCTGCCGCAACAGCACTTTACGATGCAACACCGACCTACAAACTTTGTACTGATGCCTAACCCCCCCCCCAATCCCCTGTCCCGGAATCCTGCCCCCGTGCCCCCCCMCCCACCACCCCCACCCCCYCCTCCCCCCTTCSCCCCCACCCCCAGATGCTGAGATTATCCCCTTATCCCCCTGCCTTCCCCCCAACACTGAACACCACCCCGCCCACCTACCCTCCCTCCGGCCTCTTCCTCATCCTTGTCCACCCCCCCTCCCCAACAAGCCGGCCAGGGTGCTCCTCTCTGCCACAATGGGATCAACAGGACAGAAGAAAATGGGCGGACACCTCATCATGACAAGGACAAAGACAAACACGATCAGCCATTTCCAGTGTCCGGCAACAGGGGAGAGAGGGTTAAGGACTTACAGGATCAAGGGTTTAGGGTTCGGGGCTCAGGGTTAAGGGGATCAAAAGGTTTGAGGGCATCACTGATAAGGCAATGCACGGTGAATCTGTGGTGGGATTATTCAACGCCACATCCAGCACTCAACCACAAAAGACAAAAGACACAGGCATGTGGGGGTAACTTGAGGACTTGGCGGGGATCTCAGGAAACACACTCACAAGTTACACCCCTACACTGATACGCACATACACACAGTCCACATATCCACTGCAACTCACAATTCACAACTGACAAATCTCCACTATACAAATGCACGCACAATTCATTTCACACAAACACACGCAGCACGCCTCTCCAAGGCTGTAACATGTATAACAGCCAGAATGAGATATCATACGCACGATCTCTAACATGGAAAGCACAGTCTATACTCTTACACCTTTATACATTCGCACTAACAGACGTACACAGACATAAAGACATAAAGACCTCAGAACTACTACAACTCACAATTCACAACTCACAACCCACAAATCTCAAATCTCACATCACAACTTACAGCATCCATGCCTGCACAAGGCTGTAATATACACAATGTACACAATGGACAAAAGAAATGGCTCACTGTACACAAACCTACACTCACTTACACTTACACTTACATACTACGCCTGGGTAAGGCTGTAAGATACACGGAAGGAAGGAACCCAGAGCATACCAAAGCCCAGTCTGTACAAGCAGACCGAACATTCATACAGCATGTCTACTTCTCAACATATGTATAGGGATGCTGGACCCATTTTCCAGCAGGTGATGCCCCCCACCAATAGATGGGCGCCCCCGAGAGTGCTAGAGGTGCCTGTTTGTACCATCCCTACCCTGCCACTAACCCCCGCAGCCCCCTTTTCAAAGTTTTGGGTGGAAGGTTCACGTTTGCAGAAAACCAGGTACATTGTTGTCAATGTCTGCTGAAGCCCATGCTTGCTGAAACTCCACCACTAACACCCTCACCATAACCCCCCCAACCCCTGACCCTCAACCCCTGAAATACCCC